GCGTGTGAGCATGCAGGCGTGATGCGGGTTCATATGCTTCTCACGATCCTGTATACATTGCGAAGGAAGGCCGTGATCTCGTCCAGGCTCATTCGACCGTCCCCATTGGTATCGAATACTTCGAATACACTGTGGAGCTTCTCCTTCTCAGTTCCACTGCATATTAGACATACTCCACAAACGAGCTCCATCAGGTCGACTCGTCCATCCTTGTCGCAGTCCAACACACCGAACAAACCTGCCTTAACCACTGGCGGCCAAGGGTGGAGCAACCATGGATAGAGGGAGCCCGGAGGCTTAGGAAGATCTAACAATTCGGTATTACGAGCAATTTGTTCATCACTATCCTCGTCGGGACTCATCCCGCAGGATTCTATAAGGCTTCTGTATGCTGTGGTGAATGTTAACAAAGTGAATCTAAATAGGCAAGAAGAGCCCATGGTCACCCACACTCTCATCACTCAGCTGCATTTTCTGTACTTCCTATCATGTCGCCGCCCCTACACTGTTCAGTAAAATGCCTGATCCAAGCACTATGCCTCCCTTGCTTTGATTGACCTACCTCACTGCCTTCCCGACAGACACCTCGTGCAGCTGTACACTCTTAGACATAACTCTCCACTCATCCATCTGAGCATCATCCGTGGACATCCGACCAGCTTCCTTCCTAGCCGCCTCTACCTAAGTCGATATGACATGTGAACACCTGATCAAGTCCATGGCCTCTCACTCCAGTTTGGCCATCCAATACAGACATCTTCATCCCTGGTTGTTTCTTCGGTGGGGACAGCTCGATAAGCGGTGGTGACCGCTTCGATGTTGCTTGTCGTAGAGGTTGCGAAGCTTTTGCCACCTACCCCCAGCATCAAGACGGCTATTGAGCGGCTCATCCACCTTGTCCATCGTAGGTGTCTTCACTGGAGCTCTCCGGCTTTCGGAGGGTCTCCGGCCTTGGCTCGATCGTTGAGGCCCAGTTGTTGAAGCCTTCCCGACTTTGACAGCCCTAACAGGTTTTTCCGCCTCAATTTTCTGACGTCTCGGTTGGCCTGATTCGAGGCATTC